TTGCCCTTTATTTCCTTGTTTAATGTGTGACAGTGTCAGAGACAGACAGAAGAACATGTTCTGAATCCAAACACGATCATAGCGACTACATGAAGGAGAGATCTGCAGATTAAGCCCAAATGAGGCCGTTAAAAAGCTACCTCTCCACAGGGGGCTTTGGCCAAAGAGTTTCCTAAAGTACTCGGAGAGACAGAAAGGAAAAATCAACAAAGACAAATCAAAAGACTATATTTACATAATGTGGAATCGAATACGGAGCTTTTTTCTTTTATATGATTACATCTTCATTAGAACTTCAATGTATCTTCATTATTACCCAAGTATATTGAAACAGTATTTCTAGGAAATAAATGAGCACTTACTAATAAATTGTATAAATAAGGTGCTATATTATAGGCATAAGGACTTGTACATTAGTAAGGGGTAAAGTTTGAAGCTTATCAATTTTCCTCCCAAGAGTTGAGATGAGAGGGTTGATGCCTTTTATGCCATCGATAATAAATATGAAGCTACAGCAAGGAGCTTGTTAGCTTAGCAAAAACCCTGGAAGCAGGGGAAACTGCTAGACTTTCTCTGTCAAAAGGCAACAAATCCCGCCTACCCTCACCTCAAAGGATTTCTAATTAACACGTAGCTCATTTGTGTAACCCGTGAAAAAAAAGTGTAAAAATAGCAATTTGCAGACTTAACAGGGGGCTCGGTGCCTGAACATTGTTATAATTTGCTTCCTTTTCAGTGTCATTGTCATTCCTTTTAAAGATTTCATAGACCAATGATGTATGTATGTATGATGTATGTATGTATATTAAGAAGTTACATTTTTGGGAGATGATCTGATAACTCGGCTCACAACAACATATGATTTGAAACATTTATATAAAGCTTTTAGGAACTCAAAAGGAAGTGTCCAAACAAGTTGTTGCCCTGACTTCTCCGTGTTGATGTGGAGTGACTCACCTCTCAGGTTGAAGATATCTTCGACATGGAGAGGCACATACCAGAGTGTCTCTTATATCAAAATGTTTTTTTTTTTGAAACCTTGAAAACCCTCTTCACAACAAACAAATGTTTTTCTGAAACTGCTTTTAGCTGCTTTTTTTCTTAGAGGAAAAGAGACAGACTGCCTCTCTGAGTCCTTAGACGTAAAGCCTCTTATGTTCTTTGAAAAGAAAAGACTGTTCAGGACTACTTATATATTTGGACACAATGGGTTTATTCATTTCATACGTTAGGAGCACCATCATTATCTGGCCTCAATAACAGCGAGCCACAACATTCTTGTATGGCTCCATTTATATTTGAAAATGTTACAGCTTCACCTTGTGTAATACAGACGTTCTTTCTACAACACACAGCTACAGTGTATAGACGGGGAGTTAATCAGTCTGTTAACCAAGCTGTTAATGTAACCAGTGTAATTGCAGCTAAAAGCTACACACAGGTACCTGCATCTGTTTCTTGGAAGCCACTAAAATGCTTGGGATTAATTTTGGCTGTGTGTTGCCAATTGCATCAATAAATTAAGCATTTGTCTGCCCTGTACTACCTGCCGTGGCTGGACTCCAACAGAGAATACGCAAAGCTTATCAGCACGTTCCTCCAGCTGCCTTCCAGTCGAGTACAGACACTCTTGGGTATCTCACACACTTTCTGGATATTAGTCAGCGGCAACAATCCCTTCAGTGCTTTCCCCAATTGATAGTATTTTTCCCTCTTCGCTTCTAAACTTGTGAACAGATAAGCAAAACTTATTTGCGCCAACACACTTGATATTTTTGATAGAGGGCCATTTTTCTTTTGTCTTCCGTCTCCTGCAGGATTATGTTTCAAGGAATTTCCATGAAACACCATTTAAGCGGGGCTGATAAGGCCTCCTTTGCACAGAGATAAGAGCCTATCCACACACATTATTGATCTTCGTCTGACCTGTTTGTGGAGGAAAAGCTGGAAAGGGTAAAGCACTTGTCAAACAGAGAGAGCTGTACCCACGAGAAATGAGGTGGAGATAGAGCTGAAGTATATGCAAATGCGGAAAAGAAGAGACAACAAAGGGGGAAAAAAGAGAGAGAGTAGAGGACAGAGAGAGTAATGAACAGGAAGAAGACAGAGAGACTCAAGAAGATGGAGGAGAGGCTGCAGGTTATGGGAAGGAGAGAGAAATGGAAAATGAATGTTGACAATGTTTTGTGATCATTTTAGCCTCTTCTGCATGTCCACATCATTAATAGCAACAATCAACTGATTCTTATGCATTACACTTTCAGAAATAATTTATGCTGACATTGTCAGCCCACTGACATGGTTATAAATTAATATATTATCCAATTTGTGACCCCCCACAGGACTTAAAAAAGCACCTAACTAGAACATGAAAATCCCCCAAATCTCGGCNAAGAGGGGACACATGTTGATGTAGAAGAGACATGAAGAAGAGGGGACACATGTTGATGTAGAAGAGACATGAAGAAGTGGATTTTGCATAATAGGTGAGCTTTAGCTCACCTATTATGCAAAATCCACTTCTTCATGTCTCTTCTACATCAACATGTGTCCCCTCTTCTTCATGTCTCTTCTACATCAACATGTGTCCCCTCTTCTTCATGTCTCTTCTACATCAACATGTGTCCCCTCTGTGGAAAGAGACTCTGAAAGTCTCAGGAACAAAGATTCTCTCTCTTTTTGTCCTGTCTGAAAATTAGCTGATCAGATTTTGGCCACTTTATGATGTCATAATGATGTATTGTCTTGTGTAACCATTAGCCAATCACCAACCAAGGTAACCCCCCCCCCCTTATCACCTGAATCTCCTCCTAGAGCACCATTGAGTTCTTTGTAACCAAATGTCTCTCAGAGGGGCGTGGGGAGGGGCTCCTTATTTTCATCTAAAGTAACAGACAGAGAATCAGCACTTTGGAAACAGGGCTGAAACAGAGGGGATTATGGGTAATGCTGCAATGATCTGTTTGGTACGGTGGCCCTGAAGTGCAAGACGCCACAGCATTTCAGAAAACACCACAGCATTTCACATTGGACGGAAAGGGTATTCCTTTAGGGAGAACACTTCTTGTTTATGATTGGACAGAGCCAGCCAGAGAAGCACTGCTTTGATTGGTTGTTTTTGCTGCCAGTCAAGAAATGACGCTTCGTGATTGGTCNGTGTGCCTTGGCAGTCTCAAAACACCACAGCATTTCACATTGGACGGAAAGGGTATTCCTTTAGGGAGAACACTTCTTGTTTATGATTGGACAGAGCCAGCCAGAGAAGCACTGCTTTGATTAGTTGTTTTTGCTGCCAGTCAAGAAATGACGCTTCGTGATTGGTCAACGCCCGACAGCGCAAAGGTCCCAACCATGGTCCCAACACATTAGCCGTCAGCACACACTCAGAGCTCACAGCTCCTCATATCTGTTCAGAAGCTGGACAAAAGTTAATCAAGTACAAACCACAGACTGTCTGCGTCATGGTGAATACAGTCGCTGCTTTATTTATGTCTGTATGACGTTGTTGTGAGTGTGGACGGAGCAGCTACAGGTTAGTTTAGCCTGATGGATCCGATTCCGTTTTCCGAAATGCTGTTGTGTTTTGTGAAATGCTGTTGTGTTTTGTGAAATGCTGTGGTGTCTTGCACTTCAGGGCCAACGTAGTTTGGGGTTTCAGCCAATCAGAGACAGGCTCTGGATATATCTGAGACCTGTGATATATTGATGAAAAACAGTTTAATAGGGGACCTCTAAGTCATTCGGGAAACTCACAGACACAAAAAACTAAAAGTCTACCTTCAATAAATACACTGATTTTATTCACACCATATAAACAGAAAATTAGACCTCTTGTATTTTGGAAATTCCTTTTATGTGTGGAACTACTTGGCAGGTAACCTGATTCTGATTTGGATTTATATGTTTTCAGAAAAAATCATATGAATAAAATATATTTTAAACATCCATTGTTAGACTTTATTCTATGATAATTACGTATTTAAAAGAGCATTGAAAAGCATTTTTAGATTTCCTTAAATAAACGATTTTAACAATTGAATTTCCTGAAATGTTTCTGGTCTGAAATGTAACTGTCGTTTAATATGTAGTCATGCTTTCCTCAAATGTTGTTTTCCCCCCTAAATATGTTTGCTTCATTTAAATATTGCTGTGTTTTATAAAATAGTATTGTTTCCTAAAAAACAGTAGTTCCTTACAATGGTGTTTTTAATTGCTAAAATGTTGTTGCTTCACCAATAATGTTATTGCATAAATTAGTTCTGTTACTTTTGCTAATATATTTGTTGTCAGGTTGATGTTTAACTGGAATAATGTTTATGATTTTCACCGTCTTAGGTCGGACATTACAGTATGTGTTGCTGCTAGTGTTTGTACCTTTGTTGTGTTTGGATTTTTTAGTTCGAGCTGTCGAGTTTTCATCGTTTCAGTTGAGACTGAACACGAGTGAAAACTCAGTGGACGATCTGATGGAGAAATATTCAGGTGAGAAACTGACTTGTTCTGCTTTAACTGATATCACAACATCAAATGCTTTTCGAATAACGCTCCAAATGACTTTAACTACCGTAATTTTCGGACTATAAGCCGCGCCTTTTCCCCTATTTTTCGACGCTGCGGTTTATATAACGGTGCGGCTAATCTATGGATTTTTACAGCTAACGGCCAACACCTTTAACTCTATGGGCTCTATGGCCGGTCCGCGGACCCCCACCTTTAAGCGGCGGGTTCCAGCAGGAAAAGCTGGAGGCCGGAAAAGAGTGAGACAGGGAGCGCGCAAAAGTAAAAGTGCAACCGAGAGTGGTATGCCGCTGCTGCGGCTTATATTCAGGTGCGGCTTATAGTCCGAAAATTACGGTACTTCCAAAGAAAAGTCACAGTTTTGCATGCTTTATTCCTAACAGAGAACTCAAACATATTAATGATCATTGTATAGAAAACTTCATATTGTTTGTGTTAAGCAGAACTAACTTGCTGTTGTCTCCACAGAGGAGATACCGTTCCTGCAGGAGAGACTGAGGGCGAGTGAGAGCTCAGTGGAGGAGCTGAGGAGGAAGGTGGAGAAGCAGAACGAGGGTAGGTTAAATATGTGACTTAAAAAACTGATTTCAATAATATAAACTTTACAAACTCAACAAAATCAAATGTAACACTACTACGTTTTCGGAAACCCATTTCAGGAAACAACTTCTCAGAAAAAACGAAAAAACTAATACAGTTTAGGAAACAACATTTTAGAAAACACAACAACATTTTAAATGATATAAACTTTAGCCGAATACATTTGAGAAATATAAAATTAACTTTGTCTTTATTAAGTGTTTGAGAAAACCCTAAATGTTGTTGTGTTTTCTAAAATCGTGTTTCCTAAATTGTATTCTTTCTGAGAAGTTGTTTCCAGAAATGGGTTTACGAAAAATGTTGTTGTATAGCTTTGATGTTGTCGCTTGTTCCCTAAAATGCTGTTGAGTTTGTAAAGTCCTTTTTAATGTTAGGGGTTAGGTAAAGGTTTTATGTGTTATGAAAAAGCTGTATGAATAAATATGACTTTAGACACTAAGTTATCAATTAAAGATTTGACTTTATTCTCTCGTAATTGACTCTTTGAAAGATCCTTAAATGTTGTTCCTTCAGCTTGAATGTCAGTGTTAGCTTAAATTGTTCTAAATCTAAAATATAATTGTTTTCTCATGCTTTCAGTATGATATGACTATTGAGTTTCAAATGATGTGTTTCTGCTTGTTTTTGACTCTTTGTTGTGTTGGTCTTGTAGTTCAAGCCGTAAAAGTTTCATCGCTTGAGTTCAGACTGAACACGAGTGAGGACGACGTGAAGAAGAAACATTTAGGTGAGAAACTGATTTCACATTTTCAACATTCTCATCCTTAAAAGACTCTGAAATGTTTCTGACATTCAGTTCCTCTCTTCTCTTACTGTTTAGATCTGAAGATGAAGGTGGAGGAGCTGGAGGAGCAGAACAAAGGTAGGTAAAGGGTTCATGTTATAAAGAAACCTGTCTAAATAAAATGACCTTGAGACTGTAGATTAGCAATTATACATTTTTTATTGTAGTGAAGGCTTTGGAGGAACCTTAAATGTTGTTGCTTTTTCTAAAATGTCATTGTTTGATAAGATGTTGTCGCTTTTCTATTTGCTCACAGCATGCTAAGTTTCAGAAGGTCAAATGTTTACCATGTTCATCTCCTGTTTGGATCTTTTAGTTCGAGCCATCAAGGTTTCATCGCTTGAGTTCAGACTGGACACGAGCGAGAGCTTAGTGGACGACCTGAAGAAGAAAAATTCAGGTGAAACAATTCGTGTTTCGACCAATTATTTTATATATAAATACATATTTAAAGCAGATCTAACTTTCCGTTGTCTCCACAGCTCTGGCAGGGGAGCTGCCGTTCCTGCAGACGAGACTGAGGGCGAGTGAGAGCACCGTGGAGCAGCTGAGGAGGAGGAACACAGGTCATCATCATCATCATCATCATCATATATTATATGTTATTGTTATCAGATTGTGGGACCTGATTTCTGACAACCAATAGAGTGGTGCAGTGATGATGTATTTTTGGAAATAAGATCTTTTTCAAACAAGAAAATAAACTACAGCACGGTCACATGACTTCACGTCACCACCGCTAAGCTAAAGGTGGCTAATGTTGGGCTATAAAGGAACTACAGCACGGTCACATGACTTCACGTCACCACCGCTAAGCTAAAGGTGGCTAATGTTGGGCTATGAAGGAACTACAGCATGTTCACATGACTTCACGTCACCACCGCTAAGCTAAAGGTGGCTAATGTTGGGCTATTAGGCTATTAAGGAACTACAGCACGGTCACATGACTTCACGTCACCACCGCTAAGCTAAAGGTGGCTAACGTTAGGCTATTAAGGAACTACAGCACGGTCACATGACTTCACGTCACCACCGCTAAGCTAAAGGTGGCTAACGTTAGGCTATTAAGGAACTACAGCATGGTAACATGACTTCACGTGACCACAGCTAGGCTAAAGGCAGCTAACGTTAGGCTATTAAGGAACTACAGCACGGTCACATGACTTCACGTGACCACCGCTAAGCTAAAGGCAGCTAATGTTCGGCGTGATGACGTTTAGTCGTCTCATTTAGACACTTGTTAGCAACCTCCTTTTGTAACCGTACCTTAACCAGTTGGGTATTTACTGACGTATGTTACTAAACATGACATTCGTATACATTTGAATCAACCTTGTTTTGGGGAAATTCACCAAAAGCTGATTCAAAAGCCATTGACTTCAAGACGAAAGACTCTGGAAATGCTAAAATGCTAACATATTTCCTGCTCTAGGACTCATTCCCGCACCACTCCCCATTAAATCTATTTTGCACATTTATTTTACTAAATGCCTCCATATTGATATTGCGACAATATTGTAGGGTTGACTTTTGGTGATCTCACGTAATTACTATGAGTAATGTGGATATAACAAATAATAGAAAAAGCTAGAACATCTAGCTTTGTTCAGAAAGTTACATCACTTAACTATAATGCAGCCTTTATAACCAAGTAAGGAAAAAGCTTATGCCATATTACGATATCCAAAATCTAATCTCATTTATCGACATATTCCCCAGCCCTTGTTGGTATTCCTCTTTCCTGGATTTCCAGGGCAACAACACGCCTATTTGCTTAGCTGTACCCACTGTTGAAACCCTACATGTAAATTATTTCATTTGCGTTGACGTAACACCTCATAGGCAAATATTTCTGCTAGTGTTTGTGCTTGAGAGGTTAATATCTCACATGACAGGGACATGTGTGTCCTTTTCATAATTAGCTTTGGCACAGGTGTGTCAGCTCTTTACAGTACAGTACAAATATTTCACCTGTCACTCACTCGTTGATGTCAGACTCTGTGACTTCAACTCCTCAAACCAGTTCATCCAGGTTTCTCAGTTCTGAAGTCAAACAGCCCTCAGGTGTAAACGGGTATATCTGATTATGTAGTTTGTATTAAAAGTGGAGGCCTCTTTTGCAATTTTGTCCAAGCCTTCTGCATCACTGTAGCTACAAATGTTGAAAGAAAAGACAACATGTGCTTTGGTTTGCAGTCCAGAGATGTTTAAGCCTCAACACTTAAAGGGATGCTCCATGGTTAATATTCCATTTCCATAAATAAGGGTAACGTGAGAGAGAATCAGATAAAAAGTCTATAGCGGCGATTTGCAATATCCTGTCTTTTAATCCCTCGTATAAATCGTAATGTTCCCATAATGCACCACAGTAAACTGATATTTATGTTAAATGTGTATAGAGTACAACTTTAAAGTAGAGGGTCTCAAATTCCCTCAAATCCTTCGTACATGCTCGTAAACGTAATCATTCTGTCCATACTGAATGATGACCCTCTATCATGACCAAGTTGCGTGAAGGCTACGTCATTTTTTATCGAAACAAGGTGTTGTTTTCGGGGGAATAAAAGCATCAAGCAATCATGTTTTGGATTTGAAACTATAGCCGACAGTCCGAACCAAGACTGCAAACTTTATTACGCTTTTAAACCTTGATAAAGTCAGCTCTNAGATTGACCAGGCTATAAGTGTTGCAACTGTCTCACATTTAATTTGCAGCCAGTGTGAATAGTTTAGCTTGTTTTTCCAGCATGTTCATGTCAGTAAATGTGTTAACGCCTTGAAAGAGGAGAAAATCCAGTCCTCAGTAAACCCAGACATAAGTTT